CGGTTACTTTCTGAGCTCCTTGGCATCTGAGCATGGATATAAAGTCGTCAGGTAGATTTCAGTGGTAATGTTTTTCACATCTAATTATTAAGGAACAAATTTTTATGCTTTGAAGAATTGACAAGATGTTTTTACAGCCCTCATTAGAGCATGGTGGGGGTGTAGGATCAGTAGTGGCAGAACGGGGGGATAGCAGATTGAATGCTTGTGTCCACAGCTGAGAATTCAGTATGACAGTTGAGGATTCTGTTAGCCTTTTTACTTGGAAGAATAGAATGCCGTGCATATCAAATTGGTGCTTACGAAACAGTGTAAGAACTAAGGCATTTGCTATGGGGCAGTATAACCAGGGATCGCAGGATGTGACAGTGAGCAGACCTACAAGAGAAATTTAGCGAGAATCCCCACAATAACTCCAACACCCAGAAAGCCCCTATGTTCCCATCCAAGGGGGCAGGTGGCTGCATCCAAAGGGTGGAGGGAAGTGACCTTCCTGTCCTATGCTCCTTGGGTCACCCTTGGGGCCTTGGGTTCTAACAAGCCTCAGGGGGAAAGAGAAGAGAGGAGCAGGCTTGAAAGGATTCAGGTGGAGAATAGCGGGAAGATGAGACTTCTTATGAGGGGAAGGTAGAGGTGGCGTCTTAGGGGAAAGGAAGGACCCAGGGACAGAGCAAGACCGGGTTCTGCAGTGGAATTAGCCTGCCTCATGGTCCTCTGGGAAGAGCTCTTGTAGGCAGATTCTACTCTTGCCAAGAAACTCCAACAGCTCTCCAAGTAGGGAGGGCTGCCCTCCTGTGTGTCCCCCTGTGTGTGGGCTGGCCCATCCAAGATTCCCTCTAGGTCCCAGCCAAGCCGTTTGGAGCTGAATGGGCCCTGTGTGAGTTATTTTAATCTTGGAAGAGCCACCAAGGCCATGTGGGATGGGAGGGGTACCTTCAAGTGTGATGAGAAATGCCTGAAGTGGGCCTTCTCTAAAGTTGTTTTTATTAGGCCATCACAGATGCACAGTCTATACAATAGAGAGCTTCATTCACCTCCAGCCTGGTTTCCCTCCAGAGGTAACTGGTATACCCAATGTGTTGTGTAGATACCAAAGATGGTTTGTGCATATGTGCACACCCACACATAGTTGGTGTGCTTCTGCCTTCTTTCTTTTTGTGAAAAAGATTTTTCTATTTATGTGTATATGCCATGTCTGTGCAGGTGCCTGCTGAGGTCAGTGTCTGGAGTTGGAGTTACAGGCAGTTGTGAGCGGCCTCAAAAGGATGTTGGGAACTGAACTCTGGTCCTTCCGAAGAGCAGCAAGTTCTCTTAAATGCTGACCTATCGCTCCAACCCCCTTCTTTATTTTTTATTGGCTTTGTATACATATGGTGCGGCATCTTGATTAATTAATGGGGTTCTTTTTGTATCCCCAAATACAGAGAAGTTACTTCTGAAAATAGCTCCATAGTGTCCACTATAGGGAGGCCGATGTGATTTATTTAACCAGATGTTAGATTTGGAGGGCTTTTCTGTTGGTACCAATAATAATACCTCTGTCAAACCCATGTCTGGGCACCAGCTCACACAGATGTGTATCTGGGAGATACATTTCTAGTAGAGTTTCTGGGTTAGAGGGTGTGCTATTTTTAAATTGTCATCTGTAGTTTAATTGTTCTTCTGATCCAGGTTTCACATCAGTTGACACTGCCTCTAATGACTGTCTTACTGTGTGTGGTCTTATTTCTGTTTTATGCCTTTGGGGTTGTGGCCTGCTTCCTATATTTAAATCCTCAGCCTTCCTAGGATTGCACGCCTATGTATAAGAGGAGAAGGATGAGGGGTGGGGCTTAGGTGCTGAAGGTTCTGCATAGGGGCCTTGAGAGGTGGGTGCCAGCCTTAGTCACAGGCACCATACAGAAGGGTAGGTGCCAGCCTGGGTCACAGGGACTTTTATAGAGGGTAGGTGTCAGCCTCGGTCTCAGGGGCCTTTACAGAAGGGTGGATGTCGACCTGGGTCACGGGCCTTTGCAGAGGGTGGGTGCCAGCCTTGGTCACAGCTCTCCTCACTCTCCTGCAGGGCAGGTTTTGTCAGAGATTCTTGTTTACCTATCTGCCACATCCCTGAGCCACTTCCATGGAAGCTGGAGAGCTAGGCCCAGGGCAGGAGCAGCAAGACTTTGTGCTGATAGCTCACCTGATCACAGGGAGATGCATCCCATCCATCTTAAGGGCAGCCCCACCGAGGACCTCAACCATACATGTGTAGGGGTTCAGAAAGACAGCTGTGTAAAGGAGAAGAATCTGCAGGCTGCCAATTCTAGCTCTCTCTCCAAGGCCATGAAGGTGTCACCTCATTTCACATTATGTTTCCTGCTGTCCCCTCTGAACCTGCTGACCAAAGCAAATGAGCAAAGTCAGAGGACTAAAAGCTAGGTCCGCCCTGTGGGACTCAGTGGCACCTTAAGAAATTCTAAGACTTCCTTAGAACAGAATCCCCAGTTCTTCAAGGTAGATGTTATAGGCAGCTAGAATCTTCTAGGTAGATAGTGTCCAATGGAGGTTGTCATAATGGACCTGGATCAGTAACATCGCCTGGGAACTTGCTCAAAAATATAGATACTGGTTCTACTGACCCAGAAAGTGGGAATGGAGCCCACAGTGCGTTTGAACATTCCTTGGTGTAATTCAGGTGCCTACTGTATGTGAGACCCAGGTGTGAGGAAGAGCCACTGCCCTGAAACTTAGACCTATAACTGTTTAGAAGGCCACACGCTTCCTCATGTGATCACAGCTGTCCCTGGGCCTCTGTGGGCACTGCAGCAACAACAGCTGTTAAGTGGCAAGAGCAGGCAAGTTTCAGGACAGTCTTTGAGCAGCTGATCTGTGCCCCACCTGGGTATTTTAATTGACCTGGTGCATTGCTCAGGCCCTGTATCCGGAGGACTGTGGGAGCAGGTGTCCCACCTGCTGTCCTGGGTTCCTCCCCTCCCCTGCTTACTACCTCATCTCTTTGTTTTTTTGTTTTTTTTTTTTTGGTTTTTTTTTTTAGTATTTTTATTTTATGTATACAAGTGTGTTGCCTGCATGTATGTGAGTGCACCCATGTCATGCAATGCTGCAGAGGTCAGAACAAGGTGTCAGATTCCCCTGGAACCGGAGTTAAGGACGGTTCTTAGTCTCCATGTGGGTGCTGGGATCGAACCTGGGTTCTCTGCAAGAGCAGTCACTGTTCTTAACCTCTGAGCCATCTCTCCAGCCCCTACTGCCTCATCTCTCAGTAAGCCTCTTACTTTCTGTGAGCTTTAGGTGTTTCATCTGCTCTGATTCAGGACTCTGTAGTAGATAGACCCTTCTATAGCCATCTCTTGTTTCTAAGAACTCTGACTTCATACCTGACCATGTCATTTTGTGTGATGAATTGGTAGTTAGAGAGTGGAATGCCTAGGAGGGACACAGATCAACCATTTAAAGACTGTCCTACAGCCAGCGTTCCCTAACAGCATGGGTTAGGTTACCAAGAGAGAAGGAGTGTTGTGGAGAGCCTGTGATCTGTGGGATGCACAGAAACAGGGTCCTCTCCCCTGTTGTGGGAAGGATGGTGATGAGGGCAAGGAAGATGAGATAGTGGACAGGGTGCCCGAGGCAATGATCTCCTGGAATCTGAGATCAGAGAGCAGATCCAGACCCTATGTTCTCTGTATACTTAGTGGAGACAGCCTGGGGGAAGGGCTACCAGGGAAACCCCAGCAGGCTTGTGGGTGGTGCAACCTCCTGTAGCCTTGGGGTAGGCCTGGCCTAACCGGAGCTGTGGACTAGCTTGCACTTGGGGCTTAGAGAGCTGATATAACTCCTCCTTCAGGGGCCTGACTGTGGTTTCTGTTCTTAGGAAGCAGATCCCAGCACCCTCTACAGACCTGAATGTGCTTTTCTTTCTCTCCAGATCTAATCATGAGCTACCCAGGCTATCCCCCACCTGCTGGTGGCTACCCTCCTGCTGCACCAGGTAAGAGGACCTGAGGGGGACCCATTGTGGAAAAGGATGGAGTCCACTTACCTGATGCCCTGGAGGGGGCTCACCCTTTGGGGTAGGGGCTGGAGCGGCCTGGATTTGACTGGTTCTGGAAGGCCCAGATCAAGGCCTGAACTAGATCTATGTGTCTTATTAGCTGACAAGTGTACAAAGGCTTGCTATACTACACTCTTAGGCTCTTTCTCCTTTACAAAGTGGCTTCAGGATTCTCTCCCTCACTGGGCTGTCCCCACTTACTAATGAGGCAAGCTGCGAAAGTCTGCAGGGGTATCTCCCAAAACCCAGCTGTTAGCACTTGCACCCTGTGTCAAGGAGCAGGACTTTGGCACCTTCTGGGGTCCTACTGCTGAGGCAGAGGTTTGTGTTATGAAGACCAACACCAGCTGTCACTTGTCCCTCCCTGTATGCCCCTCCCTATGTCTACCAGGAGGTTTGTGTGTTAGAGTGAGCTGGGGCAACTGATAGGAACCCAGTGGCAGAACTTCCTTCCTTCTGAGGACTCCTCTTCCCTGAGTCTTTTCATTTGACCCCTACAATTGGGAGGAAAACTTGAGAGCTTCTGGGGTGAGCAGGAGACCAGGGCCATTACCTCTCACTCCAGGGGACCCCTTGCCATGGGTCAGGAGCTGAGGTCCTGGGGTGTAAATACCTTGAACCTTCCCTTTCTCCTCTCTAGCAGGTAGTGAACAGGCTGAAGCAGTGATCTGTCTTAGCCACTGTCTCAGGGCATGTCCAGTTGAGTTGGGCCACTTCTTTCTGACTTGGCAGCAGTGAACTCAGTCCCCTATCCTGCAGAAACTCCTCCATCTCTCAGCATGTCCAGAGTATTGCACAGAATTATGCAGCCCTGAAGCTGCAGAGCAGACTTGGACTACCCTGAGTGAGAACATATCCACTGGGCATTGGCCATGCTATGGGCTCAGCCCTATGCAGGTGTCTGCTCCTCAGGCGTTACCTCAGCAGGCTGAGTATGCTTGTCTTGTCATTGTCCCCACTTATCTTGGGGATGAACTTGTCTGCAGGAGCCTCACCCTAGGTCACATAGCTGCCCTGCTGTTAGTGTCCATGATTCCTGTGATGTAGCCCCATTTCCCTCCATGTACATCCTCAGCTCAAGAGTCACATCACTCAGTGATAAGTCACATGACCTATCCTCAGTCTTCTCACCCCATGATGTTGGGTTTGAGAGGACAAAGCCTGCCTTGGTCCTCTCTGTCTCCTACATGCTCCACAGGAGCTGAATGTGCCTTCCTCCCCAGGACAAGGAAAAGCCTCCTCTCCTTTCCTCTGACTCACTCTCTCCTGGTCTTTGTGGGTGCTCGTAACATTGGCTCGAGGCTCTGCTTGACTACCCTAGCTGACTCTCCTGGAGCCTTCTTTTCTGCCCTTTCCATTGGACCAGGAACAGACAGGGCTCATGGGCTTGGTGTTGCTTTCAGGTGGCGGTCCCTGGGGAAGTGCTGCCTACCCTCCCCCCAGCATGCCCCCAATTGGGCTGGATAACGTGGCCAACTATGCAGGGCAGTTCAACCAGGACTACCTCTCAGGCATGGTGAGTCAGATCCCTGCTATGGTGCCCCTGGGTCTGCATCTGTGCAGCAACAGCAATCAGGGCTGCTGCCTCCAATGCTCCAGAGATACCTCATGTCTGTTTATGTGAGCACAGAGTGCTGAGCTGCAACTTAGAGTAAGAGGCTCACCTCCTTACCGCCTTCCCTTTGGGCCTCACTTCCCCATCTGTATGAGGGGAAGAGAGTCATGGGGCTAATGGTTTCTTGGGGTCTTTGTGGCCCTGGAGGATTGGATAAAGCTGGTGCCAATAAGGAAGTTTGTTGAGAATCTCTCATGAACCCAGCACAGGTTCTGGAGGGAAGTGAGGGTATGTGCGCGCGTGCGTGTGTATGTTGAGTGTGTGTGTTGTGTGTGCACGCGTGCGTGTGTGTGGTGTGTGTGTGTGTGTGTGTACAGATGATTATTCTGGTTGGTTCTTGGTGGGTGTGTAGCAGGTAGATTAATGCATGCATTCTACTTTTGCTTTGAAAGAATGCATTTTACAATCTGAAAATAAATGAGTGCTTAGGAACATTGCAACTAGTGTACACCCCAAATTCATGCCAGGCTCAATTTTAGGTGTTGGGAATATGTGAATAAAGCAAACAGAAATCTCTGGATTGGGGCGATAGCTCAAACAGTGAAGTGCTTGTCAGGTTAGCATTAGGACCTGAGTTTAATCCCCAGAACCCATGTAAAAATGTCCAGTGTGGTCCTTGTAACCCCAGTGCTAAGGCAGCAGGGACAGGCAGATTTGTTGGACTTGCTGGCCAGCCAGGCTAGACTATTTGGTGAGCCCCAGGCCAGTGATAGACCTTGTCTCAGAACTCAAGGTAGATGGCACATGATCTTTGCCTTTACATGCACACACACAGGCACACACACACACACGGCATGTACCTCAATCCTAGTGCACTTAGCATCTGTGGGGAAGAGACAGACAATAACTTATCAGGTGGCAGCATTGATTGGAAGTGTTTCTGAGCATGATGGCTGATGTTTAGTACTTAAGAAGTTGAATGAGTGAGAATTTTCAGTCCAGCCTAGACAACAGAGAGAGACCCTGCCTCAAACAAGAAAAGAAACAAAGGAAGGTCAGTGGGGAGGGGAGAGGGAGGAAGGTAGGTAATTAGATATGTAGCTCTGATGGCACAGGCCTGTGATCATAGCTACTTGGAAGGCTGAGGTAGGAGGATACCAAGTTCAGGGTCTGTCTAGGCTATAAAGTGAGTTCAAGGCCAGCCTGGCTAACTTAGTGAGATGTCTCAATAAAAATGAGTAAAAAGATACAATAATGTTCAGTGGTAGAGTGCTTGCCTAGAATGTGTGAGGCCATGGGTTCACTCTGTAGCTGAAGGGGAGAGAGGAGAGGGGGAGTAGTGGCATAAAGGGTCAAGTGATGGGGTAATGTAGACTAAGGACCTGGACCTTCGAGAGGAGGTGGGTCAAGGTGGCCTGAAAAGGGACCTTGAACAAAGATCTGACACAATGCAGAGATGTAATCTATGGATGTCTAGGGACTGCCCATCCCAGAGGTGCCCACGACCTGATAAGCTTGAGACAGGAGGTCTTTGTGGCTGGAGAGGAGAGGGGTAGGTAGGGCAAAAGATGAAGATGATGGGACCCACGTTATTTTGGACATGTACCACTGTACCCAGGACTCGCCTATCTTGGTTGACTGTTAGTAAGCTGATGTGACAGCACTACTCCCTCATGCTACAGAAGGAGCCCTTATATTTTCTGGAAACGAGTGCTTAATTCTACCCACTGGATCTTGGATAGAAGAAGCAGCCTCTAGGGAAGGAAGGAAGTGTCCCACAAAAAGGATGCAAGAGTCTGTGTTACCTACAGAGAGATCCCAGGCCTGAGCCCAGTTGCAGTGATCACAGAGCAAATGTTTCCATGCTGTAATTTCCCTTCCTGTCCCGTGGGAGAGATACAGTGAAGATTAGTTGGCTGAGTTAGGTAAGAAAAGAGCCTAGTGTAGTGGGACCTGCCTCCAATGCTAGGTATGGATGGTACTGGTGGGTGGGCCTGGTAGGAGGCTTCTTGCCTAGAGCCCATTGCAGGACTCTGTCAAGGGAGGGAAGACAGACAGAATCTGCTGATCCCACAAGTCTCAGACTCTGCTTTGTGTACTTCCAGGCGGCCAACATGTCTGGGACATTTGGAGGAGCCAACATGCCAAGCCTGTATCCCGGGGCTCCTGGGGGTGGATACCCTCCCGTCCCACCTGGTGGCTTTGGGCAGCCTCCCCCTGCACAGCAGCCTGTCCCTCCCTATGGAATGTATCCACCCCCAGGAGGGAACCCACCCCCTGGGATGCCCTCATATCCAACATATCCAGGGGCCCCTGTGCCAGGCCAGCCCATGCCACCCCCTGGGCAGCAGCCCCCAGGGGCCTACCCCGGACAGCCTCCAATGACCTACCCTGGACAGTCACCAATGCCACCTCCAGGGCAGCAGCCAGTGCCAAGCTATCCAGGATACCCGGGATCCAGTACTGTCACCCCTGCTGTGCCACCAGCCCAGGTGAGTGCTAGTCTAAGCCCAAGTTCAAAGACTGGTCTCCTGCCCAGCAAGACTTTGGAGAGTTTAAGGGACAGGGGAGTCTCAGGCCTCCAGATACAATTTACTGTTTTAGCAAAGTGATGGACTCTTGGACTTCACACCCCAGAGGGCATATTCCTTAAGGCCTGGGGGAACTGCCCTGATGGGTGCTCTTCACCATTGATTACTGCCTATCTCCAGACCTCATGCCTAACAGGCTCCTTGATGTGCCCCAGTCAAGTGTGGAAGTGTGAAGGATTCTTAGAATCCTCTGAGTAGGGAAAATTGTTGGCATTTCCTCCAGGGTTGATCTTGGCTCATTCTGGAAAACAGTTCATGTTTGCAGTGCCTAGAATTCATTGTCATGGTTACATGGCCAGTCCAGCCAAGCACAGGGCTGATGGTATGTGCTGGGTGCCTATTTTTAGACAGAGGGTCCATCTCCTTTTGTTACTCCCATATGCCACCTCTGTACCGATCATCACTCTTGCTCCCTGTGTCCCTCCCTTACTTCTTCTCCAAGCATAGCTCCCTTACTGTGTTGATATCTAGCCATTACAAAGACATCTCATCAAGAGGCAGTGAGCCTGTGTGCAACTTAAAAGGAGGAAGGTTTATTTTGACTCACAGTTTCATAGTTTCCATCTGTGGTTGATTGGCCTATCACTGTGGGCCTGTGGTAGAGCAATGATGCTTGCCTGATAGCAGACAGGGAGCACATAAGGGACAAGGCCTGGGCCCTCATACCCCCGCAAGAGCATAGTCCATCCTGTGACCTAACTTCCCTCCTGTAGGCACCACCCCCTCCACAGCATCATCAATACATAAGCCTTCGGGGGCTATTTAATTTCAAACTGTAACAACCCAGAATATTGAAGTTTGCTGTTTTGCACAACTGATAGTCAGCAGGCTGTCTGGCAGTTAAGCAGGTCCTGGCCTAGAGGACAGCAGGGGTCCCATGCTAGTTCAAGACGCTTTAGGAGACTGTGCACCCCTGTGAGGGATGGGTGCTTGCAACCCCTGAGGTCACTTGGACTAACCAGGACCCACCAGGAAGTCTCTGATGTATTATGTGGAGAGGTGTCTAGGAGACCCCCTCTGTTCCTCAGCCCTGGAGGACCACAACACAAGGCAGATTGTTAGCATCAGGATTCAAATGTAGGAGACTGCTGGCCTTGGGTACTCTTGTCACAGGGGATGCCAGCAATGGGGGACAGGCAGATGCTCTAGTCCCAGACACAAGGGCAGACAGTGCCCATGTCAGGCTGACTTGATGATATAGATTCCCTGCATTTTTGACTTCAGGCTCCTTTGGCTACCCCAACTCATAGAGTAAGGTGATTCCAGGGGTAGGGGAGTTGGAGGAGCCTTGTACCTGGGGGAGGAAGTGTGTGGGTCATCTTACCTGTGGCTGTTTATCTGAGTAGTTTGGAAACCGAGGCACCATCACAAATGCTTCTGGCTTTGACCCCTTACGAGATGCTGAGGTTCTGCGGAAAGCCATGAAAGGCTTTGGTGAGAGACCCAGACTGACTCCAATCCTACCCTCTCCCCTGGTTCCCTGGGCAGTTTCACTTTGTGGGCTGGGGAGTCTGAGAAAGACAAGTCTGGCCCCAGGGTGATGGAAGAGGATGGGATGCCCAGGACAGTGGGAGGCCCCAGACCAAAAGTCTATGGCTACAAAGCATCCCCTGACTGCTCCTTCCTATTTCGTAGGAACGGATGAACAAGCCATCATCGACTGCCTAGGGAGTCGCTCCAACAAGCAGCGACAGCAGATCCTCCTGTCCTTCAAGACAGCCTATGGCAAGGTGAGGTTCAGGGAGGGAGTGCAGGAGATCCATTAGGCCTGATTCTCCCAAGCCTAGCTCTAGGGTCTACAACCAGCATAGCCATAGGCCGGTCGGTCACTCTGTTTTTCCTTGGGGCCTAGTAGGGCTGGACCCCAGAATGGACAGTGAGCCCAATTAGGGCTGCTCTAAGTTCTAGCCTTGACTTTGCCAGGACTGACGCTGTGGACACACATTTCTCCCCTACCCAGCTTTACTTTCAAGGTACCCTAGGAGGTTTAGTTGGTGAAAGACCTATGGAGGAAAAGGCTTAAAGAGATTGTATCTTGAGCTTTCAGGGTTTTGAATATTAGGTGAAGCTTGGGACTGAATACATTAGTGCTCTAGCTGAGTGCTTCCTACCTCCCATGCATTGTGTAGAAATGCAAGCTTTGTAGTTCAAGTTTGGATATGGCAGAGGACAGGGTCTCACTAGCCCAGCTGGTCTTCCTTCTTCTGTCCCCTCAACTGGGGTTCTTTTCTTGTAAATCATCCATGGATTTTCAGAATGCGTGTTTGTTTGTTTGACTATCCTGACAGGATTTGATCAAAGATCTGAAGTCAGAACTGTCAGGAAACTTTGAGAAGACAATCTTGGCCTTGATGAAGACCCCGGTCCTACTTGATGTGTATGAGATAAAGGAGGCCATCAAGGTGTGTCCCTGTGTGTGTCTACCTTTGTGTGTGTGCACAGTTACAACCCAGCACAAGTGGACCATGTCATGTGTTACAGCCCACTTACTAGTTACTGCCTAGCCTGACTCCTGGGCCCTCTTGCCTATAGTCTGTGAGTTATAGAAAGACTATCTGGTAATTTTCCCAGAGGCAGATAAGATGCCCTTCCTCATAGGGAACATCTAAGTCTCCATTCTAAGAAATGATGGAACTGGGGTTGTGGAGGACACACAGTGAGAAGAGAAGGGGCCAGAGGCCATGGTGGCCTCTCTTCATTCAATAGGGCTCTGTTGTTAGCAAGTAGCAGCATGTCTGAGGAGGACACAGCAGGTGGAGAGCATCAGTTGAGGATGAGGAGGCTGAAGACCAACCCAGCAAGCAGAGGGAGGGCGCATACCAGGATGTGGAAAGGCAGGGTCTGGGGAGACACCTGCTTTGCTTTCTTGTCTGCATCTGTCTGTCTGTCTGTCTGCATCGGAGGATGGCAGACCTCACCTGTGTCTCACTCCCTACCATCCAGCTGTAGAAGAACCCAATTCCCACACAGGGCTGGCTGCTATGACTTAGCCTCAGCTCACTGTCTTCCTCAGTCTAGTTGATTGTGACCATTGGGGAGGGGTCCTATCTGGGCTATACAGCCATGTAGCTTGTGTGTCTTGTAGGTTTGGGGGTGGGAGTCCCTGTGAACTGCATAGGCACCCTGAAGGAACTACTCAGAGGATGCTATGCACAGACTTTCCCACCTTCACAAAGAGAAGCTGGGAGCTCAGAACCTAGCCTAGAAGGGCAAGAGGGCTGGCTGAAACTCAGCTGCCAACCTTATAGTCCAAGGGGGCGCTAGGGAGGTAACAGGAGAACAATGACCTGGGTCTGGGAGTGGCCAGGACCCACCTGCAGCAACTTCATGAGAAGTTGGTAGAATGCTGGAGAAGCACAGGCAAGGGACCAACTGTTGCTGAATAGCTGTGTACCTGAGCAGGTAGTGGTAATCATAAAAACACCGTGTCAGCCTCCTGCCTGCCAGCACTGTCTAAATGCTGTACATGGATTCCCATCTAATCCTCATGACGCCTTAGGTAGGTACACATAGGTACCCAATCTATAGACCAGAAAGTCAAGCAACCTGCCCGAGGTCACACAGGAAGCTTCTGAGCCTGTTTTTGGCCTTCTTGCTGTCCGGGCCTGAGCAGTTCTTTCATCCCTCTTGGCTGCCTTTCCTAGTATCTCCAGATACTCCACTGAGGACTCAAGCTTTTTCACAAGTTCACTCTGATCTTGTTTTTAGACTTTCCACCATACCCACCCCTACCCCACCCCCAATCAGACTTTGGCCTCTCTGAGCCTAACCCAGCAGGGTGTAGCCTTGGACCCCTCTCTAACTGATTCTATTTACTGGTCAGTGGGATGATCCCTCATGTAATGTCTGCTCATCACCCTGGCTGGGAGTGACAGACAATAGGTGTTTCTGTGTCAGGCACCTATTGTCCTTGGGTGCTGGCAATGGCATTGTCACCAGCATGAGATCTGGTATGTTCTGTTTGCACAGGGAGCTGGCACTGATGAGGCCTGCCTGATCGAGATCCTTGCTTCCCGAAGTAACGAGCACATCCGGGAGCTGAACAGAGTCTACAAAACAGGTGGGCAGTTCCCCAGGCCCTGCCCTCTGCCGATGGCTTTGCTTCCTAGGCATCGGTCACACCCTCTTACTCCTCTCTGACCTCCTTTATCACCCATTTCCTGGCACACCTGACTCCCAGAGCTTTAACCCAAGGCCCAGCCCTACCTGCTGTTTACACACCGGCAGGTATCTATAGCTGGGTAGGGCTGGGAAATCCTTGAGTGGGGTTTGGGCCAAGCCTGACCAGAGGCCAGATGAGCCTGGAGGGCCAGATGGGCCACCTGTCACCTCATGCCTAAGACCCCTGGGCCCTTGTCCTGCCGTTGTACCCTACTGACTGACTCAGGGGTAACAGGGCTTCATGGACTCTGATGTCTCCCTTTCAGAGTTCAAAACAACCCTGGAGGAGGCCATTCGAAGTGACACCTCAGGACACTTCCAGCGGCTCCTCATCTCTCTCTGTCAGGTACCTTGCCCACCATAGTATATCAGAGAGGGGATCAGAGGGGTCACAGCCCTGGAGAAATGAGTAGGGAAAGAGGGATGTGGTCTTCCAAGGAGTGGCTTAACCTTACAGCCTGCTTCTTTTAAGGGAAACCGTGATGAGAGCACAAATGTGGATATGTCCCTTGTCCAGAGAGATGTCCAGGTGAGTGTGAGGGCCTAGCGAGGCACCCACATGGGCTTTCTGAATCATGAACTACTTTCTTACTTTGTAGTGAGGTGGTCAGGGATGAAAGAGTGAGGAACCTGGGTGGGTTCCAGGTACTGTAGGTTTCAGAGATGATCTGCCCCTGTGTTACCTTGAACATGTCACCCAGCCTTCTGGCCTTCAGTTTACCCATCTGTCTGAGGGAACAACATGGTAATAAACGCGCAGCAGTTGAGGATCAGTTATGGGTGTGGACTTCCGTCACTTGCTACTCCTTGAGGTTAGGTGCAGATGCTGTTAGGTGTGCAAAGGTACTTGGCTACTAAGCTTTTGAGTTTGTGGACTGAGAAATCAGCTGTCTCTAGTTGTGTGGTCTTAAACTTCTGCCCTTGTTCCCTTATGAGCAACAGACAAAAGGGGAAAGTCTAGGTCTCTGAATTCCTCTCCGGAGAGGTTTGTATTGCCTACTGGGGAATTTGGACTGTGGTGTCCTGGCTTCCTGGTGGGATAGATCTGGCCGGACCTCCTCCCAGCCTTCTACTGAAGGTCAACATCTACTGTCCCTGCCTGCCTGCCTCAGCCTCACTTTGACTTGAGGGATCTCTGACCTTGAGAATCTGCCCTGAGGCCTCAAAGGTACCTTAGAAATCTTCTGGGGTAAGGATGTAGATGGCAGATATTTTGAACTCCAGCCTTCAAAAGTCTGAAGCAACAAATGTAAATTCTGACATTTAGCAAACATAAATATCTATGCACTGACACATGTATGGAAAAAGTGCCAGATGATCTGAAATCCTGTACCTGACTGGTTCCGGGAGCTGTGGTCGCCATCTTCCTTAGGAAAGCTGCTTTTCTTTGTTTTTAGTTTTTTGAGACAGGGTCTTACTGTGTAGCGCTGGCTGACCTGGAATTCATTGAGATCCATCTGCCTCCACTTCCCAAGTGCTGGGATTAAAGGCATGCGCCACCACACCTGACTGGAAGCTGCTTTTCATGATTAGGAGATGTCACATAGAAATCTGGCAGTTATGGGCCTGCCCTCCTCTGTCCTGCTCAGAGAAGTGCTGACCCTGAGGGGTTGGTTAGCCAGGACCCCTCTCTTAGGTTTCTTGCTCCCCCTGTTTCTCTCAGTGAAGTTATCCACATGGCACTCAGTCTTGCAAAGTTACAATTTCAATCAAACCAACCCTTATGTTTTCTTCATGGGGAGATAGAGGCTCGGGGGGCCAGAGGCCTGCCCAGAATCCCACTGCAGGCTGCTGCAGAGCTAGGATCCTAGTGTAGGCATCTCCTCTGTCCTCCTGCGGTGGTGTTCCCTGGTTTCCTTAACCAGGTGCGGTTAAGACTGTTCCTTGCCTAAACTGGGCTCCAGTCTCAGAATCCTTAGTGCCACCCACTGAGCAGCGTGTGGATTGCTGGGGTCTGGCTTTGCAGTGAGCCAAGCCTACAGGGTTTGGTAGATCTGTACGTCCGCTGCCAGGATTCTGCTCCCTTTCCCTCTTCCCCTCCCCTCTCAGCCTGCACAGCAAGATCCTGCCCAGCTTTCCTAGGTGATCTGGGCCTGGGACATAGTGGGTACAGGCCACACATGTGCATCTTTCTTCTTGCCCAGGACCTGTATGCAGCTGGGGAGAACCGCCTGGGAACAGACGAGTCCAAGTTCAACGCAATTCTGTGCTCCCGGAGCCGGGCTCACCTGGTGGCAGGTAAGGCAGCCCTGGGCCTCCTGGATCAGGTAGATGAGGGCAGATGGGTCTTATGGGGAGAAAAAGTTTGAAGAACCGCTGATATCCTCTGCATGGAGGTTCACTTCCTTAGACGAGCCCCCTGGTGGTGGCATAAAAGCCCCTAAAATTCCTGCAAGCTCTGCTTCTAGAGAAAACAAAGGAAAAGGGGAGGAAGTTTGTGTACTGGGATTAGGAATGTCAGAGTGGATTCTGAATATCAAAGCTGTGATTTCTGCTTATCTGATACATCTTTAAATATGCTGGGACTTCCCAGAACGTGGCATAAGGAACACTTATAACCATAACGGGGTTGTGGGGTGGCGGGCATGGGCGCTAGTGAGATGGCCCAGTACTTGCCTGATGACTTGAGTAGCTCAATCCTCAGAACTCATGTAAAGTAGAGAGAGCTGGTTCTACAAAGTTGAATTCTGCCCTCTACACATACCATGATGGCATGAGACCCTTCCCCCAATTAATAAGTTTAAAAAAAAAAGTGTAATGCACGCCTTTAATCCCAGCACTCGGGAGGCAGAGGCAGGCAGATCTCTGTGAGTTCAAGGCCAGCCTGGTCTACATAGCGAGTTCTAGGACAGCTGGGGCTACAGGGAGACCCTGTCTTGAAGAAAAAAAAAAAAACTCATGGCAGTAATACTATACGTTTCTGTTCATGCTCATTGAATACATGTAAGTGGGGTGCTGCATCAGGCAACCCTGTAGTCTGTTCTTATGCTTCAGCTTCTTGTTAGGAGATGAGTACTCAATAAAATCTGAATCAGGTGACAAATCCTATAGAGAAAAACAGTGGCATGACATTGGAAGTGGGTAGGGGATCATGGAATGGAGGGATCAGGGAAGTCCACAGATAGAAAGGCACATGACTGAGAACGCTGAAGGAGACACAGGCGCAAAGGCCTTGCACGGGGCTTCCAGCATGGCTCAGGCATAGCCAAGGGGGATGTATATGTCTGGAGCAGATGGAGTGACAGTAGCTGGAGGTGAGGACAGTGCAAGGTGTTAGGTGTTCATCCTGAGGGAGGCCCAAAGCAATTGGAGGACGCTTAGTGGAGTTTTGCCAGTTCACTGGTGAACAGAGAGTGGAGTGGCCCCTTTCCCTTGGCCTGCAGAGCCACACACTGCCCAGCTTTCCTAGGTGACCTGGCCTAGGTTGTGTTGAGAGTAGGGTGGAGGTCCTCAGTAGAGCAGGGGAATCAGCTGGGAGAGATGATGGTGGCCTGGACAGGGAATCAATACAGGTGCTTGCTGACAAGCTGGCCATAGTGTGGGAGTGAGAGGACCTAGGACAAAGGGATTCTATTGGCTGAGTGAATGGAAGAACAGATGGTCCTCCACTCAGATTAGGAGCTATGGATGGAGTAGGCAGGGAGGAAAGCGCACCCAGAGCCTTTGCAATGGAGATACTAGGAAGACAGGCCAGTGAGCCTGGAGGTCAAGGGAGATCTGGGCTGGGAACTCTAGGTAGTTAAGTGTTTTAGGCTCTGGGACTGTGAGACTGGAGAGAGAATAGCTGAGGGCAGGGCCCTGGGCCATTGCAAGAGTCTAAGGAGCCGCCAGTGAGGTGGAAGATCCAAGGGACCAGCTGTGTCTGATGGCGCCTGTGAACAGACTACCAAGGACCAGGTAACAGCAAGGAAGGGCTCGTGCTGCAGCTGCAGGGTAGAGGTGAGGTCCAGACCCTAGCACTGCTGATCGTACCCCAATACCTCTAACACGGATAGGAGGGGAGAGAGTATTCCTCCATCTTACGGTTGGCATGGGGCCCATGGGGACATAGCTTTGTTGGGCTGACATAGCTGAATGGGGCTAAGTTTGAGCTTTCTCACATCCTGACTGCAGTGATGAAGTGTGGGTGAACATGTACTCATCTTTCTTATTGAGAGTTTCATATGTGCATATAATGTGTTTTGATCAAATCCACCTCCCATTCCCTTCCCTCTAGTCCCTCTCCTATCTGCCTCCCCCTTCTCATATGCTTGTTTTTTGGTCTTTTCAAAACAAGGTCTCCCTATAGCCCCAGCTGGCCTAGAGATTTTTTTTTTAAAACCCACTGAGTTCACTTGATGCTGCCTGCATGCTTATGGTCATCTGCTAGAGCGTGGGCAGCCTCTCAGGACCTGTATCCCTGAAGAAAACTGATGCTCCCTCTCCCAGCAGCCATCAGTTGCTACTAGCTCCTCAGCTAGGGGTGGGATTTCATGAGCACTTCTCCCATACATGCTGGGACTTTGTCTGGCTTGATCTAACGTGGGTCTTGTGCATGCAGTCACAGCATAGCACAGTGTGCGATGGCCCTGTCATGCCTGGACAACCCTTTTGCTCTAGTCATCTACTACCTCTGGCTCATACAGTCTTTCCTCCCCCCTCTTCTGCAATGATCCCTGAGCCTTCGGAGGAGAAGGTGTGATACAGATGTCCCATTTAGGGCTGAGTACTCCGGAGTCTTTTATTCTCTTATGTATTGACTAGTTAGGGCATGTATTCATCTTCATCCTTGCTTATTTTAGAGTATAAAAACCTGCATCACTATCAGGCTCCAGTGTATTGTGACTTGGAAGAAAAGTGCAGAATATTTTAAGACAATATCAGATAAGCAGAAAGCACAGCTTTGATATGCAGAGGACAGTAATTTGGAGTTTGCTATTGGAGACTGACTGGGATGGGAAGGAGAGATTTGTGCCCAAGGTTAGCAGTTGACTCAGGCTTTTCACCCCTCGTGTGGCCTTTTCTTGCAGGAGCCAACAGTCTATTCCCTGGAGCTCAGCTGCTCCTGAGTTAATTAAGGGTTTGTGGGGCGTCAAAACACAGTGCTGGCTGTGCTGGTGGGCCATGCATGGCTTACAGTCAGGTAGTGCAAGATGAGCCTGATGCATGAAATAATAGAGGGGCTGGGAATGTGGAGATTGGAGGAGACCACTATTGAGTGAAGTTAGATGGGTAAGAAGATTGACAACGGCACCATGTGACCAAGAGGCATCAGGCAGCACACAAGGCTTGTGGTAGAGAGAGTGGCACCTTGTGAGCTGGGCAAGAGCAGTTAGGTTGTCCAGGGTACCTAGAGCAGAGTGGGGAAGAAGCAGACTCCTCATGCTGTCTCCTCTTAGCTCTGCTGCCCAGGCTGCACTATGGGCTGACCTTAAAGGACAGTAATTCATTTACTTAAAGTCTTAGAGACTGGTAGGCCTGGCAGGGTTGATTTCTTCTGAGACCTCTCTTTGTGACTGTGGATGGTGTCCTCTTCCCTGTGTCCTCATGTGGATAAACCCATTTGAAAATGTCATAAGTCAAAAATACACTTCAAGCCAGGTGCAGTGAAATGTAGTCCCAGTTTTTTGGGAGGCTGAGGCAGGAGGATCACTTGAATCCAAAAGTTTGGGGCCAGCCTGAGTAACAAGGTGTGATTCTGTCACATAAAAAAGGAAAACCACGGGAACTATATAGGTGGCTCAGTGTTTCAGAGCACTGGCTGTTCTTGCAGAGGTTCTGGGTTTGGTTCCCAGCACCCACATGACGGCTAGCAACCCTCTAATTCTAGTTCCAGGGAATCTGTATGCCCTCTTCTGGCCTCTGTGGACATTGCACACTTAAATGCATGTACAACACTCATAGACATAAAATAAAAATAAGTTTAAAAAAAAAAAAAAAAGTAAACCATGCTGAGCGTGGTGGTGCATGCCTTTAATCCCAGCACTTGGGAGGCAGAGCTGGGTGGATCTCTGTGAGTTCAAGGCCAGCCTGGTCTACATAGTGAGTTCCAGTAACTGGGGCTACAGGATGACCCTGTCTCAAAAAGACCCCCCCCAATAAAACAAATAAATCAAAAAGAAAAATTAAAAATGCTTTTATGGACTGGAGAGATGACTCAGTGGCTAAGAGCACTGGCTGTACCTGCAGAGGACCTAGGTTCAGTTTCTAGCACCCACATGATGATTAGCAGTCATCCTTAATTCCAGTTCCAGGGGATCCAGCACCTTCTTCTGGCCTCCATGGGCACTGCACACTTGTGGTGCACTTACATACATGCAGGCAAAATACTTAAAATAAATCAAAAAATATTTTAAAAAAGCATTTATTATGCCTAACTTACTGAAAACTGTAACTTGGCCTGGCCTGACTTAAATACACTCAAAACATATTGACCTACAGTGAAGCAAATTCACCTGTCACAGAGCCTTGTTGGACAAAGGCTGAAGAGCTATATATTTAGAAAGAACTGTGTTGAGAACTAGAAACATAATGGTTGTAGTCAAGATTCCCGGTCAGCCATAATCTGAGGGTTATCTGTCCACACGTTTCTGATCCTCGTTTGTCCTGGCCTCCCATTTGTAGAAGATTTCTGGTTAGCTTGGTTCAAGGCCCCTGCCCTGGTCTTGTTTTAAAGACTCTTCCAGTTCAGCCCGTATTCTGAGGTGTGAGGTCTGCAGCTTAGGAGCTGAGGGAACATGATTCAGACTGTGACACATCCCCTCTGCTTTCTCTGTAGTTTTCAATGAGTATCAGAGGATGACAGGCCGCGACATTGAGAAGAGCATCTGCCGGGAGATGTCTGGGGACCTGGAGCAGGGCATGCTGGCTGTGGGTAGGTGCCTGGGGCAGTGGGCTGCAGGAGTGCTTGCCATCCTCTTGTTGAAGTTGGTCTAGTAAGAGAACCACAAAGTGAGCTTACCAATCTAGAGCATCGCCTGCTGGGAAACCAGGCTTTTCCTGGACACAGGGTAGTTGGGTCCCCAGCTTTCTGGGACAGAGGAGTTTTGGATGTATTTGCAGCACAGCTCTGCAGAAGGGAGCTGCAGTTTGGGTATTAGTGGGAGCACATCCAGTTGCTCTCCTAGAGGAAGGTGACTCATATCCTGCCAAGTTTCCTCTAAAAATACACCCCTGCAGGCAGTTGTCAGATGTCTGTGATGGAAACATACAGAAAGATTTTTACTTGCAACAGCAAAACAAGCCTGTTCTAGGGAAAGTTGGCTGAGGTCCCGGCATGGTGGAGTGTCTTTTACCACACTGTGTCCTCTGTAGTGGGGCCTGGCAACTCAAGGGCCCCTCACCCCCATGTAGAGTTGGTCTTTGCTCTGAAGCCCTTGCCACTTCTCTTTATATACACTTCGAGACCCCAGTTTTCCAGCTCTTTCAGTGTGCTTTTCTTGAGCTCTCTGAGTGGAACAGGCAATAAATCCTGATCACCACGCATGTCCCCCACTGTGTGTCATGGCCTGAGACTAGCACAACAGCCCCTCAGCCTCCATTCTCTGTGAGGGTCTCTGTTTGACCCCTCATGCCTGAGCAGTGATGTAGCCCCTCATCCTGTACCTCCTGTGGTTCTCCTTGTACCATGTTGGTGCCGCCGTGTGGAGCCACAGTCAAGAGATCACAGCCAGCAGGGGGAGAGGTGGCTGGGTGGTGACCACTCTGATGCAAGCTTCTGAGAGGGACACTTGTGTGTGTGCTCCTGTGCTGTGTGTTCTACAGACCTTACACTGTATTTCTCTCTTGTAGTGAAATGCCTCAAGAATACTCCTGCTTTCTTTGCCGAGAGGCTCAACAAGGCCATGAGGGTACGTAGCTCCCATGGGCAGAGGGCCCAGATCTGGGATGTCTTAACACCACCTGTGACTAGAGGGTCCACAGAGGGCTGAGTGTTGAAGGCACAAGAAGATCACACCTTAGCCAGAAGGTCTGGGGAACCTAGGGCTCGGGAGGACTGGATCCTCAGGAAGATGGGAGGATGGGAAGCCCCGTGCTCATGTTTTCTGGTGTGGTGGACTCTCTTTAGGGAGCAGGAACAAAGGACCGGACCCTGATTCGCATCATGGTGTCTCGAAGTGAGCTTGACCTCCTGGATATCCGAGCGGAATATAAGCGGATGTATGGCAAATCGTTGTACCATGACATCACGGTACGGGTCCCTGAGGGCTGACTGGACTTCCTGGGCTCCATCTCCATGCCCCACTGGGGGAGCTCCCAGGCTTTGTCTCTCCCCTTCCCTTCCCCCTCTGGAGTGGCCCTGGGCTTGTCTTGTGGGCCATGCAGGTAGGCTCTTGTTTGTGTACCTCAGGCTTGTCATCCAATTGCCTCCAAACAGATCTTAAGACCCTCAAGGACAGGGCAGATCACAATTTTACAACCCTTCATCCCAAGCCTCTAAGACCCCACTGCTTAATAACTGAATAGGGAGAAATCTCAGAACCTTTCTTACGTGTCTGACCTTTAAGAGTCCCTGCCACTCCATGAAAGTGTGACCCATCAGCCTGAGTTTGAGACTCAAGGGTCCACAGAGCTTGGCTTTAGCTCACTGTTGTCTAGCTTTTTTCACTAACTACGATGGAGACCACATGGATAGCTCAGAATGGGGGCTCTGGGGTTACAACCTGGCATCTGCTCCTGGCTTTTCTACTTGGTAACCTTGTGATCTTGAGCAGTCTCCTCAGACCTCCCAAGCCCAGGTCCATCATCACTAAGATGAGGGTATAATGATAGTTCCTTCTTAAGTGTGGTAGGAGTACCAAACAAAGCAGCCTACACAGAGGGCCTAAGAAGGGCTTGCTCCTGTGGTATTGCTGTGTGACATCTGGGCTGACAAAAGGTGTTTTTCTCAGGATAATCTGATAACTAAACTCTGAACGTGTCTGAAACTTGAAATTAAATCACCAAGACTACTTTCTGACTTCAGATGCATTGACATTTAGTATTATTGGGCTCATCTTGGAAAAGAAGCTACTCTCAGGCTAGAGAGATGGCTCAGTGGATAAGAGGGCTTCCTTCTCTTCCAGAGGACCTGAGTTCGATTCCCAGCATCCACATCTGGTGGCTCACAACCACCTGTAACTCTAGCTCTCTGGGCAACTGACACCTCCACGCATGTGCAGATACCTACCCACATACAAACACATAATTTAAAAACAAATCTTAGAAAACTAAATCTATTTCTATGCTAAAAATGATGCTTGGAAAACAAGAGAATTAGTCATTACTGTCATACTGTGTCCTGTGTACTTATAGCTTGTGATGAACCAAACCACGGGCTTTGCCTTCAAAGAGCTTGAGGTTGCAGAAAATGACCTGAAATTAGCTAAACCTGGCCCATGCTCCTGGAAGCGCAGTGGTGTCAGAGAGAGATCAACCTGTGAGGTGTGGGAGGCTGTAATAGTATAGATGTCCCCCATGGGTGGTCAAGGTGACATTTTTCAGGGCAGGACACAGCATTGAATTATGGTAGCACTCCCAATGTAATGTGCTGGGTAAAGAACAGCATTGGTTAGCCCTGGATGGTGATCTTGAGACCTTGAACTATAACCAGAATTATTGGTCAGGAGCTACCCACTGTCAGGGTCTCTCACTGGGACCTAGGACTTGCTGCTTAAGCCAGACTAGCTGTCTAGCCAGCTCCAGGGATCTGTCTGTCTGCTTCCCCAGTGGTGGGATTGCAAGCACATGGCATCATGCCCAGCTTTTGCTTTTTGTTGTTCATGGATCCTGGCCACCACCGGACAGCACTATTCAAGCAGGGTCTATATTGCCTGCTCTAAGTAGGAAATCTCCCTCGAACAGACCTGTCTCTCCCTCGGGTCCTGTGGGACATGAGAAAATCAGGAGCCAGAGGGCAGGAAGTAGACTGGCCTCCCTTAACCCTTGCTTTTGTTTCTAACCAGGGAGACACTTCTGGGGACTATCGGAAGATTCTGCTGAAGATCTGTGGTGGCAACGACTAAGATGTGATTGTCTCATTTCTGCCTCCTCCTGGCAAAGGCCACACCAGGAAAAGGCCCAAGAGTGTCCTTCAGTTTCTCCTAATCCACCCAGTAGCCCCGATGCACCTGTCCCCCTAAAGCCACGTCCTTGTCCTCCTCGACCCTCCTCTTTCCTCCTCATCCTTGTATTATGCTGAAGGGCCCAGGTGGCCTGGCGCTCTAAGGATGCCCCTGTCCCCGACCCCTCTCAGCCCCTTGCCCTGCAACGTGGATGTTTTATCTCCTGGCTTGTTGCTTGTGGCTAAGACTCTGTAGTTTCATTGTATTTTTATTTGAAGACAACTTTTTTTAACCACCATTGCCAGACAGATGCATACAAATGTGTTTACTGCATACACGTTTCTTGTGAGAGCGGGGATGGGTGGAGCAGCATGTCTTCCCCTAGGACAGAGAGGGGTGGGTGTTACAAGGGTTATGTCTGTAATCTGGTGAGAATGTGTCATGAGTTTTGTTTTTGCCAAACTCCTTTTTAGAAAAAGAAGGGCAAAAAGTCCATTCGTTCCATCTTCATGCGAACCACAAGGACAAGGCCTGTTCCCTGCCAGTGACGGGGCGCCCTCTAGTTTGGAATGTGCCTTAAACCTGAATGTCTGTAGCCAAAAGCTGTTTCCAAATTAAAGTCAGCCAACTCTGGAACATTCTGGAAAGTCTTTCTGGTTCCAGCTTGTTTTCTTGTGCTTCGTGACTCAGGGATTCCGGCCTTATTTGCCAGTGAAAACGTGTTGACGGAGAAATCGATGCTGTAGAAATGCAAGCATAGGGATTGTGTGTTTAGGACATGGGAGGATACTCCTAAAATCCAAGCTGGTCCCAAGCAGTGAACACGGCACAAGGACCCTGGTCTTGGGAAGGACAGAAAATGTGTGTGTGTGTGTGATTTCTGGGCTAGTCTCTCGGGGAAGCTATTGAGGACAGGGATAGCCCAGGGAAGTACCCTACCTCCACATTGTCTCAGGTAGCCTCCATCAGAAGGGTGTTCCTGGCTCTGGCCCCTTGGGATCTCTGCCCCTTGGTTGGTGGTGTTTGGAGAGGGGCGTTAACAGGGATAGTTAGCTTCTAGGCTTTGTTAGGTCTAGGAACATGGAGCTTCTCTTACCTGCTGGAGGTCTCCCCTCACTTCCTTTCTGACCGTGTTAGAAAGCCTAGGATGACGACATTCCAGAGACAAGTGCCAGTCAAGTCTGTTGGGCCCTGGCTGGAAGCCCAGAGAGGCCTCTGCTGAGTGGACATCTGCCTAGGGCACTGACTCTTCACTTCTAAACCGTGAGAGAAGGGATGACACCCAGAAGGCTCAAAGCAGTTGTGAGCTAAGCACTAGCTTCATGCACTGGGGCCTGCCTCCTGAGCTGCTGTGCATGTAGAGAGCGTCTGGAGCTAGAGACATCTGGAGCCGAGATTCTATTCCTGCCGGCCTGTCAAGAACCTCTGCCCAAGGGAAGGCCCTTGCATGTTGATGCTGGCTGGGACCTGCCCGCTGGGAGGGACTGCTGAGCATGGTGCAGTATGCCCTGAACTTGGGCTGATCCTGGTGGCCTCTTGAGCCATGTCACAGCCTAGAATTAGTATTTGTGTGATTGCTTTACCCTGCTGTCTACACCACAGTTCTCAGCCTAGTGCACAGCAGGCAGTGTTGAACTTAGAGAACATTTGCTTTAGTTCCCTGGATACCTCTAATGTGAGCCTTGGTGTGGGAGCACTTGGGGAAGAACCAAGACTAGGATGAGGTAAGTGAGGTACTTATTTTCAGTGCGAAATGTCAGAACCTTGAGTGCTCCACTTATGGATGGGCAGAGTGTCCTGATGTGGTTTTCAAAACCTCATGTGTTTTAGTGTCATCCAGTGAACTTGTTAAAACCACAGGTTCTGGGCCCTACCAGCACAGACCCTTACAGAGCAGGTGTGGGGGACACGGATACATCTGCATCCTGTGATCTGACGCTAGTCTAAATACTGATGAGCAGATGGCAGGTATGCTCGCAATTTGGGCAGGTGATGAGGTGAGATGGGTGTTCAGCTTTGGGGAGAGGAATCTGAACAGTGAATCTGCAGTTGTCATTGGTCAAAACGATAGCTTAAGGTTATACCATGTTTATCCTCCGTTGGTTTCATTAGGGAATTAGCCTAGCCTAGGAATTTGACCCCTTATCTCTTCTGTGTGGTTTTTAAAAAGAGATTTTTAAATTTTATGTGTAGGAATGTTTTGCTTCAATTTACGTTAAGTGCACAACTTGAATGTAATGCTCACGGAGGCCAGAAGAGGATATCAGATATTGTGGAATTAGAGTTGTAGATAGTTGTTAGCTTGCTGGGAACTGAACCTGGGTCCTCTGCAAGAAAAACAAGAGCACTTAACCACTGAGCCATCTCTAAGCCTCCTGACAGGTCGTTCTTACCCTGGCTGATATGGGTAGAGTGTAGCCTATAAATACATTTCCCCAGGCAGATGGAAGCCTGCATCTTTCACCCGTTGGAACCTGAAGGCTCTCTGTTTCTCTAAGGACCAGCACAACATTCATTCTCAATGTGGCCCCATGGGGTGTCCTCTTCATAAAGCAGTGTTTTAAGCCTCCGAACTCTACCAGGGGCTTGTCTATAACTCCTGCTCCTTGGAAAGCTGTCTCTTGGCCTAATAATAGTGTTGCCTACTCTGAGTTGGGTTCCTTCTCACAGTAAGAGCTGATGTCCTAAAGCAGAAAGAGCTCTGGAGTTGGAGCAGGCAGTACTACTTGTCAGCCTGGCTACTGACTTTGTAATCACGGAGAAGTACTTTTCCTCCTTTGGGCCTTTGTGGGATGAGCCGTAGATCAGAACTTAAGCGTTAATGTGTAAAAAATTGTGAGGTGGGGGGCTGGAGAGATCGCTCAGCAGTGAAGAACACTTGATGTTCTTGCAGAGGACTCATATTTGGTTCCTGTCATGCACATAAGGTGGCTCACAACTGCTTATAACTCCAGTTTGGGGCAGGGAGCATGTTTGACAGCAAAAAGATCAAGAAGAACTGTATTGGAACTCTGCAAAATGAGAGTTTACAGAAACCAAGCTAGTGCTTAAGAAAGAAGAGGCTGAATCAGTAAAAGCTGATGTTTCAGGTTATCCCAGTGCTGTGCCGGGAGATAGCTAGGCAGCAGCATGAAAGTGATGTTCCACATTCTCTGTGTAACTAGCAAAGGTGAGGTTAGAATTAGACCTCATCATCAAGAACTGTGATTGCAGGCTAGGGAGATGACTCAGTGCATGAAAGCGTTAGCCAAGCAGACCTGATGACCTGAGTTTAACCCTGGAACCCACATAAAAAGCTGAATGTGGTGGGACACATCTGTAATCCCAGCACTTCTGTGGCAAGATGGGAGGCAGAGATGGGACAATCAGCTGGAAGCTCACAGGCCAGCTAGCCTGGAGTACACTATAGCAGGACCAAGAAAGAGCCTGCCTTAAGGCATGTAGGACATGCCTTTAATCCCAACACTTGGGAGAAAGGCAGGCAGATCTCTGAGTTTGAGGCTAGCCTGGTCTACATAAGTTCTAGGTCAACCAGGGATACATGATGAGACCCTGTCTCAAAACAAGTTGTAAGTGGCTAGAGAGATGGCTTGGTGGTTAAGAGCACTTGCTGCTCTTGCAGAGGACCCAGGTTCTGTTCCCAGTGCCTGTATAACAGCCCACAATTCCAGGGGATCCAATACCCTCTTATGGCCTCCACAGACATCAGGCACATGCATGGTGCACTACCATATATTCAGACAAAACATGAACATAAAAACAGCAAACTAGCATCTAAATGAAAGAACCTGCCTCAAGATGAAAGGTAAGAACTAACTCCCAAAAGCTGTCCTCTGACCTCCACACAGTGCTGTGGTGTGTGTAGTCAAACCCACATGCATACACAAAATAGGAATTATGTTTTTTATTTTTATCTGTCAAGTTATGTGTTAAAGACTAATTCAGGGCTGGAGAGATGGCTCAGCAGTTAAAGAACACTGGCTGCCCTTGCTGAGGACTCAGGTTTGGTTCCCAGTACCCACAACAATAACCATCTGTAACTCCAGTTCCAGGGGATCTGATGCCCTCTTCTTACCTTCACAAGAATTGCACGACACAGGTGCATCTCCCTACATGCAGGCAATACACTCTCCGTAAGCTCAACACATGACTTGGGAGATGCTGTGAAAATTGTACCCAGAGGGAAGTTTGCACCTGTAAATCCCTACCCTAAAACAGACTGAAACCCAGCATTTCATTAGGAAACCATGAGCAAACTAAACCCAAAGCCACCAGAAGGCAATAAAGACTAGAAGACCAACAGATGAAGCAAAATAGATGACAGAGCCAGTTTTAAAAAAGATGTGTATATGCATGTCTGTGGGCACACACATGCCATAGTACCTGAGGAAGATGAAGATAGCTTTCCAGAGTCAGTTCTCCTTCCACCGTGGGTTCTTGGAATCAAAGTTGGGTGGTAATGTTTGCACAAACTCACCCACTAAGCCATCTTGCCAGGTCAGTAGAACCAATTAAAAATGGTTTGGGGACTATGAATGGAATCTGACAAGATGGCTCAGTGGTTAAAGGTTCTTGCTTCCAAGTTTGACAGCTTGAGTTCCATCCCCAGGACCTACATGGTAGAAGGGGAGAACTGACTCCCACAAGTTTTTGACCAGCACGTGAATGGCATGACATATATGCCCCTACAAACTTCCAACAGCAGAGGAGAAAACATTTCCTAATTTATTGTATTATTACCCTGATAGCAAGAAAGGAAAAGATATCACAAGAAGACTACAAACTGATACTGGTCCCTAATAACATGCAAAATTCTGCAAAATGCCAGAAAACTGAGCTGGTGAGATGGCTCAGCTGTCAGAGGCTTGCCACCAAGTTGAATGACCCAAGTTCAATTTTCAGAACTCACAAAGATGGAAGAAGAGAACCAACTCCTGCAGGTTGTCCTCTTGACAGATTTCTGAGTTCCAGGCCAGCTAGGGCTACATAGTGAGATCCTGTCTCAAGTATACATATATGAGCCTGGAGAGATGGCTCAGGGATTAAGAGCACTGGCTACTCCTACAAAGGAGCCAGGTTAATTTCCCAGCACCCACATGGCAGCTAACAACCATCCTTAACTTCAGTTCCAGGGGATTTGATGGCATTGCACGATGTGGTGCACTTACACTTAGTCAAAACACACATAAAAATAAGAAATTAGAACAAACGTAAGAAAAGGGGAGATGGGTTGGCTAGAAACATGGCTCAGTAGTTAAGAGCACTTGCTTCTCTTGCAAAGGACCTGCTCTTCCAGCCCACAGCTCACAACTGCCTGTAATTCTAGCTCCAGGGGTTCTGACACCCACTTCTTCCCTCCAGAGGCACCTCCCTACACATGAACATACTCCTATCTAGATACACTCACACAAAGAAGCAAAGAAAGACACTCATAAAAGGGAAATATCCCAGCCTGGTGGGAGGATCTGCAAAATGTTCACAGCTAACATTTCTGGTGGGCTCAGCTGCTGTGCAAAACAGCAGAGTGATTTTTCAAACAACTAGTCAAATTGCTGAATTAAATGAACCATTTAATTCAGCAATTTCATTCCTAGGTACACACTCAAGAGACACAGTAACTTGAACATGGATGTTCATAAAAGCATTGTGAATGAAATGTTTTAATAGGCAAAACAGGGAAACCCCCCAAACACTCAACAGCTGAATGAACAAATGCTGGTCGATCAATACAATAGAATATTATTGAGCCATAAAAAGGAATAAAGGAATGACATGAGCTACAACCTTCAGAGCCATCTGCCTTGCGGAAGCCAGATACAAAAGGGCACATAATGTAAGCTTCCATTTATATATAACCTGTTCACAATAGGAAAGTCAATAGACAACAGAGATCAGTGGTTTCTAGAGGGCTGGGGGTGGGGGTGGGGGGTTAGTAACTACTGACTAGGCCCAGGGTTTTTGGGGTAGTGGTGGTGAAAAATGTTCTGGAATTAGTATTGATGATGTCACAGCCGGGTGAACACACTGGAAGCCATGGGATTTGTACAGCTTAAAACGGTGAATTTTACCTCAAGAAGAAGAAAAATTTTAAGAGGCTGAGGGTATACACAGTGGTCCAGTTGGTGGATCGCCAGCATTGGCACGGGGTGCCTGAATGGGCACACACAACCCCCTAGACAATCTCTGGAAGACCACGTTCTGATAGGCGTGGGTGGGGCTGGTTGGGAAGCAGATGGTGTATTTCCAGTTTGAGCAGCAAGGCTACTTAAAGGGCCTTCCGTGCTGTTACGGTTCTGGGTCTTAGGTGCCTCACCTCTGTGGCCCATCATCTGCCTTCTCTGTCCCTATAAATAAAAAGGACTCAAGTCCAGAAGGATAGAACACCCAGGGCTGAGCCTAGAGCTGTAGGTGAGCTTCGGGGCATGTAGCAGAAGGAGCTCGGGCCGTGGTCCAGAGATCACTGTCAGCAAACCCAGGGGCCCAAGCAGCAGCTTTATTTCACGCAAAGGTGGGGCAGGAAGGCGAGAAGACCTGGCTGGGTGGGTTCTGGGGATGGTATTCCCAGACGGATTATCTCCCGCGCCTGGGCTCCGCCATCTCCGGTGATCAGAAGGGATCTGCAAGAAAGGGGGTGCCCCGAGTGAGCAGCAGGGGCGCGAGAGGACGCCCCTCTTCCCACCTGTGCCAGGCGACTTCGTCCCCCGGCTTCCCAGTAACCCCGGACCCTGGGCGCCAAAGAACGCAGGGCTCAAGGAAGGAACGGGATGATCTGACTCATGCATCAATGGGATGCCCAGGCTGGGGGTGAGACACAGGAAGGAAGACCTGGGGTGCCGCCCACACTGCCTCTCTGACCCGGCAGCAGAGCATCCTCCTTCTGTCCCTTACACCTGTCCCATGGGCTGCCATTGGCCCCAGATGACAGGCCTGGCTACTGTCCCCTCTGCCACCTGAGCCGCTCACCTTCGGCGAGGAGGTCCGGCGCAGGGCTGAAGGGCCCCGGGGGTAGGTTCCAAGCCAGCTCCTGCAGCAGGCCCAGCAGGCTTGTGACTTCCGCCTCCAGGTGTTCCACGGTCTTCTCCACTGTCTAGAGCCGGAGGACCCGGCAAAGTCAAGAACGAGAGCGGAGCCAACTTTAGCTTGGTCAGCCAAATCTTAAAGAAGGGTCACTGGGTTCCAGGGGGATGCCGTGGAGACAGAACTGGGACCTACGCCATCCTGGCTCTCATCCAAGCTCTGCCTCTACCCGCCTCTGTTTCCCAGGCAACAGCATTCCGGGCCGCTCCCCTCGCTCTTTAGGGCTGGTTTGGTTTGGGGGACTCTTGAACACCTTTTCTCTGGGTGACTTGGCCACCCGAGCTCACATTCCTTTTGTTGCACCGCCCCCTGGTGGCGTCTTCGCCAAATATCAGGTTTGGGATTTTTTATCTTTTCCTTTGTAGGGGATGCTTAAAAGGTTCTGTGTGGATGTGCTGTGAATCCTGTTGGCAGCCTGATAAAACGTTCAGGCCTCCTTCTAGAACAATCCTTTAATGCTTAAACAAACAAGCAAACAAACAAACAAACAAAGCCAGGTGCTGTAATCCCAGCCCCTAGGCGTTAGAGGCAGGTGTATGTCTGTGAGCCAGGGCTACATAGAGAGACCCTGTCTCAAAAACCAACCAACCAACCAACCAACCAACAACAAGCTGTAACTACATCACAATAGTATTCTAATGTTAAAAATTAAATACGGGGTTTGGAGAGATGGCTCAGTGGCTAAGAGTACTTGCTGCTCTTGCAGAGGACTCAAATTTGATTCCCAGCACCCACATCAGGCAGTTCACAACTGCCTGTAACTCCAGCTCCAGGGGATTTCATGCTGTTTTCTGGCCTCTGAGGGCACCCCCACACATGTGGTATACATATACATAGATGTACCCATACATATAAATAAAAATAATGTTTAGGGCCGGGCATGGTGGTGCATGCCTTTAATCCCAGCACTCGGGAGGCAGAGGCAGGCAGAGCTCTGTGAGTCTGAGGCCAACCTGATCTACATAGTGAGTTCCAGGCCAGCTGGGGCTACAGGGAGACTCTGTCTCAAAAAGACCAAAAAAAACGTTTAAAAATTAAATTATTTTGGTTGTTCACATCCATAAGTCCAGCAGTGAGGAGGCTGAAACAGAGGGTCACCACAAGTTCTGGGCCAGCTTGGGCTACAGAGTAAGACCTTGTGTTAAAATTTAATTTGTGTGTGTGTATACATGTTTACGGGATAGCATGTGGCAACCATAAGTCAACCTCAGGAGCCACCTGCCATTTTTTTTTAACATTTATTATTTATTTGTATGGGGGAGGGGCAGAAGTGAGCAGGCTGTGAGATGGCTCTG